AAAAGGATGGTACGGCCGTGCTCGACTTGGTGGGGGCACTACCGTGCCCCCAGATTTACAAAAATGTTACTTAAGTGGGTTGTCCATATTTTAGAATTTCAACAATGATTAAAATATTCTTCTAAACTATAAAAACATTTCATTATTAGCCAATCTTTAAGAGTTTTTACTATGGGCCTCATAAGAAGGCCAAGGTCACCCAAGGCGATGGAGCGAGCTATGCTCGGAATTTCCCTGCGTGATCGAATTTGAAATGAGGAGAACCAAGGACCGACGATCTGGTAAAGGTCGCGAGAAGAACCTGGATGCGGGCAGCGCAGGACCGTTCATTATGGAAAGCCTTGGAGGAGGCCATTGTCCAGCAGTGGACGTCATTTGGCTGAAACGAAGATAGTTAATCATTATTGCTAAGTAGGCGTAAAACAGCTTATATACTCGTATTATTAGTTTGACCTAATTTTACATTCACGCATGTAAAATGACTTCAGTTTAAATAAATTAGTGTATGAGCAGCGCTCAAACGGGTCGACTATATTATTTAGCGCTCTTCAGAGTAACCCTCATCAGCATAGCTGCAACATCTTACAGTAAAAGTAGGTATTTTAAGGCTGACTTGCACCATCTTACTTTGACTTTAACAAACGTCAAAAATCTGTCAAATTCCATACAAAAAACACCGGTAATCGTTAAAGTTACGGTCAAAGATAGGTGGTGCAACTCAGCCTAAGTATGGCGGTACCTTGAATTTACAATAACATCCCCTTGACATTTAGCAAAATTGAATTAAATTAATTTAAAATTGAGGTTAAGAATTTATTGTAATTGAAAAATGTTATTATAATATTAATGTTATTATGACAGAAATATATTCTGTTTGAAATCAGGGAAAGTGGTAATTTGGACCATTTTTGTAAGGTTCCGCCGTAGTCCTGACAAGGAAAGGACCCTTAGACTGAGTTGCACCACCTAACTTTGACCGTAACTGTAACGATAACCGGTGGTTTTTTGTATGGAGTTTGACAGATTTTTGACGTTTGTTAAAGTCAAAGTAAGATGGTGCAACCCAGCCTTATACTCGTGTTTCTACATGTATAATGGTGATGATTTTTTTCATCTTCTACCCCATCGTGTGGGGTATCGTTGGATAGGTCATTTAAAATGATTTAGGGCTGACTATTTTTCGATTTAGGGATCCGTTTGCAAAATATTAAAATTAAAAGTGTTTGCACGTTAACCTCNCCCCCCCTCTAAAAGAAAGTCTTTCAAATCTTATCTTATTAATGTTATAAATGCGAAAGTTTGTGTTCAACAAACAAGCAAAAACTGCTGAACGGATTTTGATAACAGAATAACATTATACACGGATATATGACAAACCAATTTTACGCGGGTCCAGCCGCAGGCAAAAGCTAGTGTAATAATGTTCGGGCGGGAGGCAGTGGTTGTAAGACACTGCTCCCGTGCCTGGGATATTATGCGGTCAGGAAGGAAACTAGCCTAATTTGCACTTGGCCGCGTGGGCGCAGCTGGCAGCCCAACGAGCACGCGCGACCTTCGCGAGCCACTGCAGTCGGTTCAGGGGTGACAACTTGGCGAGCCAGGCGCAGCACTCCGCGGAGCGACGGCAGACCTCTGGCCTCGCCCCAACGACGCGTCGCATCGCTAAACTTATTAAGCTGTCAAAGGTCAAGCCGGTGCCAGGTCATAGGTTGGTCAATCAAGTTTAGTTTTAGCTTTTTCACATTATCAGATTGACAAAGGATTACTAAAGTGTCTGGTTTTATCATAATCAAGGCGAAACTAGTCAAATGGTATTAGTACCAGAATTCACTCAAGGAGTAATTATATTATCCAAAGTATTAAACGATAATTCAAGTTTTCTTTTCTACCTTTAACGTGCTTTAACTACCTTGGTACTATTAAATCTATTACTTATTATGTGCTTTAACTCTGATTATATTAGTTAAACATGTTTATCGGCAGTTTTCAACCGACTTCAAAAAAGGAGGAGGTTCTCAATTCGACCCGTATGTTTTTTTTTTTTTTTTTTTTTAAGTATCAATCATGGTATACCTACATAAATATTAATAATTCGTCCTAATAAATAAGTAGGTAATTAGTAATTATTTTTCTACGTTTTAGTGTAGGTTTTTTGGAGTCGGTTTTTTTTTTTTTATATGGAATAAATATTCCGGTATCTTGCTTTCGCAGTCGCAACATATCTGTACAAGGCTACCTGTGCGCGCGGACCGTAGAGCGAACGCGAGCAACGTGCTAAGCAACGTGCTATGCGTATGCGCATACCGCGCACCATCACATTTGTTGTTGTATGTACCTCGGCATTTGAAGAGGGAACTCCACGATAGTTGAATTAATCAGCGAATTCTCGACCGTTTGACACTGTCATAAAAGGCAGCGAGAGGTCAAGGTTGACGGGTGGGAGGCGGATCTCGTAAGAAATGAAGACGATCTCATACTTAGAAGATTTTGGGGCTTTGGCCAGCGCGAACGTAACAGCGCCAGTGACAGTGACAGTGCCGCAGAGCCCAGCAACATGCGCGCGAGCCGCCTCAGCGCGGCGCTGGTCGCCGTCCTTCTCGTCGGCGGTGAGTAGGGCCTCGTGCCCGGCTTCATTGCTCCAGCTGATGGTTCAGCAAAGGTTCTTGGTAGACCCTGAAGGAGACTTTACATGTCTCATAATCTTTTGCGCTTCGAGACCAACATTTGGCAAAGAAGCGCTGCAACAAACACAGTCACTATTGTTTGCCGATTAAAGAAAGACTACAAGTCAGTTACAACCCCTGGATGGTGCTTAGTACCACCATTGTTAATCATTAATTTTCTATGCTCGAGGGCTGCATAGTAAAATTTACTAACTAAAGTAACTAAAGGCCAACTAGCAGCGATACAAAAGGTCGATTCGACTGTCGAATTAACAATCTATTCTCTTCCCATCTTGTGTATTTGTCGTAATGTCTCGTTCTCCCGCCAAAATATGTCAAAGTTAGACGGGTTCGTCAACATTCGGACATCCATTTTAGTATACACTAGCGGCCGCCCGCCGTACGTATGGATCCCGTTTTACCCCCTTCATCTATCTTACGCGGTTTAGATTTTTACACGCTAACTGCTAGGCTGCACACGCGACGGGGGCTTAAAAAATGGAGTAACTTCTCCCGTTTTCCCATAATTTCCCTTCACTACCCTGCTCCTAAGTATACTATAACCTGCCCAGGAGTATGAAGAATAATTGTACCAAGTTTCGTTAAAATCCGTCGAGCAGTTTTTGTTTCTATAAGGAACAACAGACACAAAAATTTTACTGACTGCTAATTATAACATTTTAAAACTAACCCCAAAAGCTTGCGCAGCCCGAGACTTGCTCTTGAACCTTTATGGCCCTTTGGTTTTTTGTTCGATTAGTTTTTAATTTGTAACTTTTAAATATCGGTTTTGGGAAAACAATAGGTAAACATTAAACACATAAACGACAAATTGTTTAAAAATCGAAATTAAACTTTCATATCGCATGAACCGTGATAGCTAGACAGTTCAAAATTTCGGTATCTTAGTAAACTGAAAGCTTAGTTACAACAGGATATTGCAAAATTCCCACGGGTACGGGAATTAGCGTGAAAATCCTTTTGTATGAAAAATCTAAACCGCTTAAGTTAGACGCTTGAAATTTGGCATGCAGGTATATTAGTAAACTTAAAGCTTACTTATAACAGGATATTGCAAAATTCCCACGGGAACGGGAATTAGCGTGAAAATCCTTTTGTATGAAAAATCTAAACCGCTTAAGTTAGACGCCTGAAATTTGGCATGCAGGTATAGTAAACTTAAAGCTTAGTTACAACAGGATATTGCAAAATTCCCATGGGAACGGGAGTTAGCGGGATAATCCTTTTGTATGAAAATCTAAACCGCTTAAGTTAGACGCTTGAAATTTGACATGCAGGTATCTTATTAAACTTAAAGCTTAGTTACAATACAACAGGATATTGCAAAATTCCCACAGGAACGGGAGTTAGCGGGAAAAAACATTTGTATGAAAAAACCGCGTAAGATAGATGAAGGGGGTAAAACCGGATCCACGCGTACGAAGTCGCGGGCGGCCGCTAGTTACACATAAATTATTACATGACCCCTGATTTAGTGTGACTTTAGTTAGGCTCTAGGTATAGCTTAGACTTCCGTTTCCGCGGTCTATATCGCAACACGCCTGTGGTTTGTCTCGCGTTCTTTAATGATGGCTCATAAATGTGCATTAAGAAAGCATGTCTACTGTACTTATTACACAGCTCATTTGCGGTCAGTGGACTTCACGACTCACATAAAAATCTATTTTACGAAATTATCAATAAAGAAAAATCTAAATATTCTTAGACATTTTACTCTAGTCCCAAACTAAGCAAAGCTGACCTACTTATTATGGGTACTAGACAATGGATAAAACATTACTTTTTAGGGTTCCGTAGCCAAATGGCAAAAAACGGAACCCTTACAGATTCGTCATGTCTGTCTGTCCGTCTGTCCGTTCGTATGTCACAGCCATTTTTTTCCGAAACTATAAGAGCTATACTGTTGAAACTTGGTAGGTAGATGTATTCTGTGAACCGCATTAAGATTTTGATGTAAAAATAAAAAAATAATAATAAATATTGGAGGCTCCCTAGTCCCCATACTTAGAACTGAAACTCAAACATTTTTTTTTTCATCAAACACATAGGTATGTGTGGGGGGTATCTATGGATAGGTCTTCAAAAATGATATTGAGGTTTCTAAAATTTTTTTTTATTGGTTGCATTTTTTTATTTCCTACTCGAAGATGCTTGGTCCGATTTGATAAAATATTTTGTTTTGTTTAAAAGTTACGGTCTTGTTTTATCGGAATTTCGAAAATAGGTACGACGTATTCCTACGACAATATCTTCAAGAATTGGGAACTGACTCTTCGTTTGTGATTGAAATATCGCGAGATTGTTTCCTTGTAATTTAGTTGATCAAAATCAAGATCAAGATCGACTAAACTGTGCATTTAATTTACATACTTGTCTACTTCACGTGATCTTTTTCGAGTTGAGTTTAAATTATTTAATAATTTGATATTTTTACTAGTTTATGTTTAATAACACACATTCTTCACATTTTTAGAGTAAGCTTATCATGCACTCTCTATAGTTGAACATTTGACCAGATGGCCGAAAAGTTGAAGTCGTCGATGATTGCAATATTTTTAGGTCAAAGTTGAGTAACCATAAAAACCTTTGATAAATAAAATTATGAAATGTTATTTGGTGTTGTAACATTACTAATGGTTCCATAACAAGCACAACATACCATATACACTGATGGCCAAAATTTGTGGAATATTCCTAAGTACCTACTTGAGTGGACCTTCCAAACACAGGAATTTTTTGCTTAAATTGAGGTTCTTATCTCCTTACTAGCGGCCGCCCGCGACTTCGTACGCGTGGATCCCGTTTTACCCCCTTCATCTATCTTACGCGGTTTAGATTTTTTCATACAAATGTTTTTTCCCGCTAACTCCTTTCTTAGTGCACCTCTACGGTACCTAAGCTACGTCCCTTCCAAATTTCAAGTGCCTACGTTTAGCCGTTTAGGCTGTGCGTTGATATGTCACTAAGTCAGTCAGCTTATCCTTTTATATATTTAGATTAACTAAAGAAACCTTGTAAAAGAAATAAAATTATTTAATGATTTATTTATTACAAGCTTTGCTTAGTTTAGTAAAAAAAGTAAAACCCTCAGGGGGCCTTAGGTTATTTGGTCTTTACTAATGGAAGGACGACAATATATTTATTTTTGAACAAAACTAATTTACAAGAAGCATAAGGGTTTGGCATAAAATGTAACAGTCAACACTCAATATTAAGTACCTACCTACTGAACTAACTAATAATTTCGTACTTACCCATTTTCGATCCGATAATTTACCAGTGAGTGTAGAGGTGTAGGTAGAGCGACGCGTGGAATGCGTGGAGTGAGGCAGGGCCAGGCCAGCGGCCAGCGGTGACGCGCGCAACAGTCTCATACATAGCGACCGCCACTTTTTAGAGTTCCGTAGTCCTGACAAGGAACCTTTATAGTTTCGTCATGTCTTTTTACACTTTTTTTCGATTTAAGGATCCGTTTGCAAAATATTAAAAAAGTTTAAAGTGCCAATTTTTGTTCGAGTAGGGCGTCCCCCCCTCTAAAAACTAAACTGTTGGCTTGAAAAATCTGGAAAAATTCATAATTAGTGCTTTTTATAAACTTTCAAGGAAAACTATAACGGTTAACAGTTAGTTTAAGGTTTAACATTTTAAAAACTTTCATATCTGGTCTGGTATAAAAATTCCTTAGAAGAAAATAAGTGACTTAGATGAAGTAATTGCTTGCTTCTGAAATATATATATATTGTGTTAACGACGGACAACTACGGAACCCTAGACTGCGCGTGGCACGGTCGACACGCACTTGGCTATTTTTTTTAATAAGTTTCGAGGATACAGAATGTGTATTATTCTATGTAACATACAAATTGCAAGGACTCTGTAAATGTAATCTGTAAATACATAAAATATGGGTAAAAGCAACCGACTTACTATTGATCTATCTGGATCTATCAGTCAATAACACAAAGCTCAAACTACACTTGCGAGCAAAAGTATGGAATCACTTACATGAAGTTGTTTCCACGCGATCTTGTGTACTAACCAATTTGTTATTAACAAAAAAAATAGCACCATTTTAAAGATTAAACTTTTAACTTTAAATTGATACCAAATTCATTTAAATCACACCAGTATTTAAAAAGATATCCCGGCTGATGAGAAAAAGTAAGGAAAAAGGCATGTATCAACTGTTTGATACGTCGCGAGTTGCGGCCTATTTACCCCCCATAAAAGCAAGTGTTTTCGGATTTTTGCTTTCACATGTTGATCCATACACATCTCCGCTTCTTTTGACACTTTATCTGAGATTCTACACCTTCAGAAGCAGCATAAATCGTTGCACTATTGCAAGAAGGGCTCAGCCAGCGGGCTGTCGCACGTCAGCTCCACATAAGCCAGTCCTGGGTTTCGAAAGTTTTAAGACGCTTTCGGGATACCGGTGGCTTTATCCCGAGACCAAGTTCTGAACATTGCCGGTGCACATCGCAGAGGGAAAACCGTTTTTTCATGTCAACTTCTCTACGAAATCGTCATTTGACTGGTATCAACGTCCAGCAAGAGCTCAGAAATGTTCGTAGGATAGCTGTTAGCAAGTGGACAGTTCGTCTAAGATATAAACAATAGAATTTGACTCCAAAAAGGCCTGCCACAGGCTTGAAACTGACGGCAGGTCACCGATAAGCACGGTTTCAATTTGCTCCAACACATCTCGATGGGAAGTCGAGCAAGCCACCCCTATAAGCCAATGTTTTAGCGAACCAGCACTGCACAAATCGCTCCCCAGGCCGTCTATAGACCCGACCTCTTCGACTGCTGCACTGCAAAACAGTCTGCATTCATCGGAGAACAAAACTCGCCTCCATTACTCGCCTTCCGAGTGCGAGCTAATTGAAAGCGTGCTTGTCGGTGACCTGCCGTCAGTTTCC